TGTGTGTGTGTGTGTGTGTGTGTGTGTGTGTGTGTGTGTGTGTGTGTGTGTGTGTGTGTGTGTGTGTGTGTATGTGTGTGTGTGTCTCATCGGGTGCGCGAGAGCGTGTGCGTGTGCATGTTCGCGTTGTCACAATATTATGTGGAACGTAGCCGCGTGTCTTCAAACCACAATATGTGGGCGAATTGCGCGTGAAACACACGTCAGTTTAGAAACCGTGATTGATTGTTTATACGTGTAGCGGTTACACTGAAACACGCAGTTTGTAACTTACGTATATAAGTATACGCACTGTATGAATATATATATATATATATATATATTATACTGTGTTCGGTACCACGCATGTGTACGTACACGTACACGCCTCAGACGATAGCAGTGACAACGGAAAACCGGGCGATGGGTCCCATAAATGTCACTATAACTCACGTACGGTAGCAAAAAATCAAACAGCAGAATCATCAACGTGTAACTAAGCGTTGTTGAGCGACTGTACCATCATATTATAGATGCTAGACCACGCCAGTAGCACTGTATACTTGAATTACGGGAAAGTTTCATGTGGCTGGGTCGAGCGATGCTATATGATAGACCTGCTATAGAGGTGTTTTTGAGCTAGCATCATTATTATTGATGTAAATAATGGTAGTATTCGTATATATATATATATATATATATATATATATATATATAAACGTGCGTGCTCGCGCAGGGGAAATACGGTTCGTGGGCAGCAAAGTTAGCAGTGATTGGCGTAATCAAGAGGCTATGTGGCGCACGGCCGAGCAGCCAGTAGTATGTTACGGATGAGAGGAGCGACTCGCGACATCTGTGACGAGCTTTGATAGGCGCCCAGCAACAAACGCGCCGCCGACTCTCCGCCAAATTGCTCGCCGGGAAGTTCAGACACTATAGCGTAAGCGATACACGCGCGGCGGCATCCAGCGATCTTCGCTAGTTCTCTCTCACTCTCTGTGCGGCTGCTGCTTCGACGGCGCGTCTCACCCATACGAGCAACCAGCGACCTCAGACTTCGCAGTGAAGAAGTTACAGCGGCGTGTACAACAAGTGCTTCTAGACGATATATGCGCACGGACCGCGTGCTGCCTCAGCGATAGCGTGAGAACGTCGGCAATATCTAGGCGACGGCAGCAGCGGCGGCGCGGTGGATTTACCGTCGTCGACTATACTGATGTAGACGACCGACTCCTGCGCAGCGCGTGAAAATCTCTTACGTGTGTATCTTCACTAAACACGCATCTGTGAGCGACATCGACGGGCGGAGAGAAGTAACTCCTGTGAGATTTACCGAACGAACGAATTTTATACGTATATATATATTTATTCGTTTATTTATAAAAATAAATTAATAAATATATAAACATAAAAAATATATATAATGGGTGTGGTTGCACACATAACTACATAAATATAGAAATAGCTAAATACGAAGGATAGCTATCTATAGCTGGATAAGACACAAAGGAATAGAAAGCAACATTGTTGTTTACCGTCAACAACTATAGTCCATAGAATGCGTGAAAAATCAAAATGAAACCTCGTGGGCTTTATTGGATATATACTTGTCTTCTGATGGTCGCCATCATAAGACAGACGACATCGTTCAGATGGTTGTAAGTATACATTATAATCATATTTCGTTGTTATGATAATCATATTGTCAATATTATTATGCAATATTTATACATATATGTGTGTGCGTGCGTGCGTGTGCGTGTGCGTGTGCGTGTGCGTGTGCGTATGCGCGTGCGCGTGCGTGTGTGCGTGTACGTGTGCGTGTGCGTGTGCGTGTGGGTGTGCGTGTGCGTGTGCGTAAAGAGAGAAGAAAGAGGGAGAGAGGAGGAGAGAGAGAAAGAGATGAGAGGAGAGAGGATCATTCTGTAAATGCAATGATGACGATTTTGTAGTGTATGTCATATATTTCTCTCAGCACACTACAACCATTGAATGTGGTGGTCTTGCTTGTACTATAGTGCCATTTCCCCCCAAATGTGTATTAGCTATCACGTAAAATATTCTACAATTATTAGCAATAGAAAGGGTTTATATTATCGGCTGGTTAACGTCAACTGCGTGGAAAATATACCACTTTGTTATCTTTTTATAACCGAACAGATTTTTCTTGATCTGCGCTCATAATTTCATTTCATCTCTTGCGATTTTTCGAACCTGGATGTATTTGAAACTAGAACGTTTATTCTGATGACTAGAGTCGCTATCGTCGCAAAGCTTTCACACATACGGAACGCTGTCTCTTATGGCTGCATGGCCTTTCGTGGTATCCAAGTTACTGTGCGGGACTACCTAGCATGCCATTGTAAATACGAGTACCGAATGATCGATGATTTGTGTTAATTAATCGCTGTCATAGGTACCGTCACAATAAATTAAATTTCCATCAGTGCGCAATTATGAATTCGGACATGGCGGCGCCAAAGCGTATACACAATCACCGACTGTACGACATTCACGATACGTCGCCGTTCTGCCGAATAATTTTTTTAAATTCAATCGTTATACCCGTTCAAAATGTCTATCTTAATAAACACATATGAAGGTTCTGCATATCTTTCTTTATATAGGTATTTATAGCGCTATATGTAATGGTCATTTAGTTTTATCTATTTTATTCTTTCACCCCATAACCTTTTCTTTCTGCCCCTTCCTCTCCTTCCCCGTCTTTCTCAGTCACCATGTTCCTTCTTTTTTCGTCCCGTTTCTCGCTCGTGTTTTGTCGCTTTATATATATATATATATATATATATATCTCTCTCTATATATATATATATATATATATCTTTCTCTCTCTTTCCCTTTATCCCCCTCTTTCTTTCTTCTTACTCACTTTTCCTTTTTTTCTTTTTTCTTTACTCTTTTACCTAATCGCTCGCTCTCTGATCCTGCTTGTTGTCTCGCGTTTCCTCACTTTCTTGCTCCGTCTCCCTCTCTCCCTCCCTCACTCTCTCTCTCTCTCTCTCTCTCTCTCTCTCTCTCTCTCTCTCTCTCTCTCTCTCTCTCTCTCTCCGTTTTTCCTTATCCGCGAACTCCTTCGCTCTCACTTTCTCACTCCCCTTCTCACACTCTATCGCTCAATTTTTTCTCTCTGTTTCGCTCCATTTTTCTCTTATTCAGTCTTCTTCTTCTTCTTCTTTTTCTTCTTCTTTATCTTCTTCTTCTTCTTTTTCTTCTTCTTATTCTTATTCTTATTCAGTCTCGACGATCTCACGAGCAGACGCGCATGTGAAAACAATACGCACGCACATGTACACACAGGCACGTTCCGCGCAAATAAACATATAGCGCAGCGGCTGCTGATTATCACGCTTTGTTATGGATATAGGAGAAACTGGAGAAATTGTTTCACGGTGCAATGGCGCGTATTTCGGGATCGAGTGAGGCAGGCAGCCGCGACGGGCCATGGCCGAAATAGACGCATTCGACTATGGAGAGCATTGCGTTTCAATCGGGCCAGATCGCGAACTCGGAGGCGGCTTGTCCCTTTCCTATTATGGCCAGCCGACGGTGCGCGCAGTGCCCAGCGCATGAGCTATATAAACGCCGACCAGCGAACAGCGCGCGTGTCAGTGAGTCGATCGCTCCCCATACATCCAGCTCTTCTGGTGAGTCGGTGGTTTGTTCGCTAACCGTATGTGTGTTATGTTGTGTGATGTGGTTTGACGCAAGGCTGCAACCAACGTGCGTTAATGGCCACGTGTTACGCGGGCACTCGCTTAAATGATTTCAGTTATGGCAGTATTGTATATTTGAACATTCTGATTATTTCAGAAGAGCGGCTGCTAGTAGATTTTGTGGATAATTGTTAGGAATCTCAGGGCATGAGGATAGAACAGAAAGATTCCGTGTCTGCGCTAATCTAAGGTCTACAAAGCCGTCACCTAATTATTTATGGGTTCCGTTCAGTGTTTTGTGCCGATGAAGTTGTGCGTTTACAAGACACATATGCGTGTATATAGGTTTAGACTGTCACGTTTCGTCTAGTACGCGGTGAGCTTCACTGACTAATTCCTTGGGTGCAGGAAAAGTAATGATGATGTATATCCGGAGCGTTTATTAGCAACACATTTGTGCGCGTAGCGTGAGGCTGAAACTATGAAAGCGGGTCGACAAACTTACTGGAAAATTCATTCATATGTAAGAAATTGTTCCGTTAGTAGATGGCGTAGCGAACAATTCATCGTTGCCTTATAAGGCATTGGAGTGCTTGCAGACTGATTGGCTCGAACGCCTACTATAGCACAACATTGCTTTATTTATAGCGTGCGTATGAAACACGCACAGCCTTGCCGAATGGTTCGCGCCTGAATGTTTGTTTGTAGAATTTAGCAGGGCAGAAAATAATAAAGTCCAGTCTAGGAACCTATTAACGATCACCACAGCCGTTGGCCGACGTGTTGCTGCTGAAACAAGACGGACCCGATTCTATTTATATATCGTAATGTAGCCGCCTTGCTCCGCCTATAGAGGTAACACAGCGCCGACATGGGTCGGCGATGAATAAATGTTTCGTTCGTCTATTGCAGTACATCATACCTAACCAGCAAACATGTGTGACGACGACGATGTAGCGGCACTTGTTGTGGACAATGGCTCCGGAATGTGCAAGGCTGGTTTCGCCGGTGATGACGCTCCTCGTGCCGTCTTCCCTTCCATCATTGGGAGACCACGTCACCAGGTACGACCCGGTCTTTCATCTATTACTGTCATCTCATAATTGGCGCATTTAGCAGGGAAACAATGAGGCATCGGTGTGTAAAGATACCGTGTATTGATTTTAACTAAGACTTAACGGGGATGAATTTCGTAAGATTTAATTTATTCGAGAATTCAGAAATTTTATTCAAATAACGTTAAATAAGACTATTATAAAATTTTTTCACTAATCAGTCGATTTTCATACCCGCGGGCCGTTTTAGTAATAAATGCGTTTTTCTTTCGCGAATAGGGTGTCATGGTTGGTATGGGTCAGAAGGACAGCTATGTAGGAGATGAGGCGCAAAGCAAGAGAGGTATCCTGTCTCTGAAGTACCCCATCGAGCACGGAATCGTCACCAACTGGGACGACATGGAGAAGATCTGGCATCATACCTTCTACAATGAACTGCGTGTTGCCCCAGAAGAGCACCCAGTCCTGTTAACTGAGGCCCCATTGAACCCCAAAGCCAACAGAGAAAAGATGACACAGGTGGGTAATGATGAAATAATTGATAATAATGATAATAATGATAATAAATAATGAATAATGATTGGTAAACCTGTAAATTTCAATTGACGATCATTTCACAGCACCTGGCAGAGAGGGTGGTATTAACAGTGTTACTATCGTTCTCATATATTCACACAGCAAAAACGTTGACGCGTAGCATATTTTGTGTCGTTAAACTAGTAAATATTTATAATGAACTCTAATTCATTTCGTTTGCAGATCATGTTTGAGACCTTCAATACTCCTGCCATGTATGTAGCCATCCAGGCTGTCCTGTCACTGTACGCTTCCGGCCGTACCACCGGTATCGTGCTGGACTCTGGTGATGGTGTCAGCCACACCGTCCCCATCTACGAGGGTTACGCTCTGCCCCATGCCATCATCCGTCTGGACTTGGCTGGACGCGATCTGACCGACTATCTGACCAAGGTCCTGACTGAGCGTGGATACAGCTTCGTGACCTCTGGTGCGTATATACCCATTGTACACCAGCCTAACTCTATTCCACTCCACCATAACCCCACTCCACTTTACCCAAACCACACCCGACTCTTCTTCACTCTACGCTATCGAATAGGGTACAAACCAATCTTGATCTTAAGTATCATTTGGGCGATGTGGCGTTTAATATCTCTTCGTAACCAAATAGACGAGAACGAGTGAGTAACCGTTTAGAAGATTTCCCTATCGATGTCCATCGACCGCGCGATTGTTTCAACACTTGCTTTAGTCAATGTAATATCGGCGGCGATTGTGAACATGTTCGACTTGCGTATGACCTTCGAAGCATTTCGACCCGGTTATCTCTTGTACAGCTGAGAGGGAAATCGTGCGTGACATCAAGGAGAAGCTGTGCTACGTCGCCCTGGACTTCGAGCAGGAGATGGCCACCGCTGCTGCCTCCTCCTCCCTGGAGAAGAGCTACGAGCTTCCCGACGGACAGGTCATCACCATCGGCAATGAGAGGTTCCGTTGCCCGGAAGCTCTCTTCCAGCCATCTTTCTTGGGTATGTATATTTAAAATCGACAGCGAACTATTAAAGCACTAAGCAGTATGTCGAAAAATATCGAATTATGTTAATCTGTGGCATGGTATTATTAGAACAGAGTATATTTTAATTTTAAACGTAAATTGCCTCGGTGAGAAACACCGCGCGTTATTACTGTTACGTCTATGGCGGGTGGTAGGATGTAGTCGTGTCTATGAACCGCTTTGTTAATTTTGAATCGTTATTCAACTACAGGAATGGAATCCACCGGTATGCATGAGGCTGCCTACAACTCCATCATGAAGTGCGACATTGATATCCGTAAAGATCTGTACGCCAACACCGTCTTGTCCGGTGGCACCACCATGTACCCAGGTATTGCCGACAGAATGCAGAAAGAGATCACTGCTCTCGCCCCAAGCACCATGAAGATCAAGATCATTGCTCCACCAGAAAGGAAGTACTCCGTATGGATCGGTGGCTCCATCCTGGCTTCCCTGTCCACCTTCCAGCAGATGTGGATCAGCAAGCAGGAGTACGACGAGTCCGGCCCAGCAATTGTGCACCGCAAGTGCTTCTAAGACGTTTAACGGTCACCATCATCATGCGTCGTCTTCTTTGCCGTTACGTTGTCTTTCCACAGCAAGCGAGCCTTCACTGTTGCCTGGCGGAACCGCAGTTGCCATCGGTATTTTACAACCAGAGTGACGGGCCGTTCCATGAGGCCCTCCCATCCCGATCTTCGCTACTGTGCCTGTTGCTCCTGCGTCGCGCTCGATGACCGTGGGCTATCACTTTACCGTGCAGAATTGGCCGACCGGGGTTGTCGGTGTGAATACCGGGCCTGTTCAGAGGACCAGCATGTTTCATTATACAGATCAGCAATTTACGGCAGGCCTTCCGCATTTCGACCGTAGCATTTATTAGAATTCTTTAGCAATTGCGTCAGTTGTATTTTTTGAAATTTTAGTTTTAGTTGGCATTTTCATCGCCATTAAATATCGGTCCGGTCGGTTGTAAACGTTTTGAACGGTTTTAGTTGACGTCATGAAAATATAAATATTAATTTGACTGTATTTGATTCCTCAATTGTTGTTGTATTGTGATTCTTTTGCTATTCACATTTCTAATTTATTTATAAAAACGCTACACGCGGTGTACAATAAATATAGCCCTGTCACAACATCTAGCTTTCGAGTAAGTTTAACTCGGCCTGTTAGCGAATATCTTTTCTAGACGAAGCGTGTTACAGAAAGTAAGGTAACGTATTTTTCCAGATTCAATCCTCCACGAGAAACAAGAAGAGCAAAAACAAGTAATTGCTGACACAACGCGCGAAATGTAATTAAATGTATACGATAACGCCATATATAATAGCACGTAATTATATATAAGAGCCTCACTTTCGTTTGAGATGCCACAATCAATTGTACAACGCTTATCAGCAACAGACGCGGCGCCAAAAACGACTAACTATATATTTCGCAAATATCTCGCTAGGTGGAGCCGCCAAACAACTCCGGTGGTTAGCAAGTTACTTCTCGCCGCGTTCGATCTTCCGAATACGGCCTTACCGCTGCTCAGTTGTGCCGACGTCTGATTTGTCGTAACGCTGCGAAGCGCCACCGCTAAATATGGTGCGAGAAACGGCACCGCATCGGATGGCTGTTTTCAGTGCACGTACGTCTTGCTAGAACGAGGCGTTCGCTGGTGTGGAGGCAGGCGATAATGGAAGTCGAACCTTCCAGCTCATGTTACATATCTCATATTACTTTTCTTACTTACGTTGTGTGCTCTCAGAGCCCATAATTATTACAGTGAGCTCCTTGCACTGGCAGTATAAAAATCATCAATGCGTTTAACTTAATTAACGCCCAAACTGAGATAAGTAGCCGCTCTTGTGCGTACACAGTAAAAATTAATATACTGTAGGCCTAATATGGTAAAAGGACCATGGAATTTTGTACTCTAAAAGATACGTAAAAACACAAGCACAAACAATAGCTTGATGTATGACAGGTAAAAAATGCCTTTATGGAATAATTGCTAGTAGTAGTGTATGTGATATTACCTCCTTCATTCTGCTACATGAACTCGCAAACAAAAACAAACTAACTAACACACACACACACATATGTATATAATATATACATAATATGAATCATATTATGAAGATTCCTGCCCGTGGCTGCACGCAAGGTAAACGCCTTATATGCACACACACACACACACACACACACACACACACACACACACACACACACACACACACACACACACACACACACACACACGCGCGCGCGCGCACACACACACACACTCACTCACACAAGCAAGCACGACAACACGAACACACACGCACACGCAGGCGCACTAACGCGCGCATGCATGCGCAGTCACACGGTCGCACACGCACGCACGCATGCAGAGACACCTATACACACATGCGGGTGCGCGCGCGTAGACAGGTACATTAACGCAATCTCTGTCGGCGTGCCTTTGATCTTCCCTGCTCCCCTGTCAACCGAACATTTTCCGGATACCCTCCGGCATTCTCCTGTTTGGTGACAATATTTTCGGAAGAAAACAAGCGAACGGTAGCAAAATTGCTGTATAAATGGCCATAAATGGTCATTTTCGTCGCCCTACCACATCCGCGCGCGGTACTGTACTCTTTGTTTACGCGACCCACAATTTGTGCCTTTTATAACCAAAGCGACTGTCACCTGTTTAGATGTCACGTCGACCTCGGCCGCTATTGTCCGAATGCTTGCACCGCGAGCGTTCCAAGAGCTAATGCATATCAACGCCCTTATGTAACTAACGTGTCTTGATTGCAATCTAAACACTAGGCTCGTGTTGCTAGTAACATAGACGACGTATATAAACAAATAAATCAATATATATATTATATATATATTATATATATTATATATATATAATATATAGGATATAATATATATATATTATATATTATTTAGAGGACGTAGAGAGACAGAAGAGGAGAGGAAGGGACGAGGAGAAGACGAGAAAAGCAGTCGAGAGAGAACGAGATACAGAGAGCAGACGTGCTTAGAGCCGACTCCGATAGCGAGAGAGGAGGACAGCACAGCAGACCAGACTGAGGAGGACGAGTTGGAGCGAGAAGATGATGGCAGAGTCTGGAGAAGCAGAGGAGAGTAGACGAGATGATGGTGGACAGGTGAATGAGAGAGAGAGAGAGAGAGAGAAGGGGGGGGGGGGGGCGAGGGAGCAACGAGAGGAGTAAGAAGAGAAAGGAAAGAGGCAGGGACCTGGGGGAGAAGAGAAGCGCGCCACACACATACACGCAACACGCACACACACACGCATACTTATACATTACCGGCACACAGCACACGCGGCGGACACACGCACATGTTACACCACAGATACAAGCGGACCGAGAGAGGCCAGCGTCTCTCGTTGGGGGTCTCTGCATTGTCTTAAATTTTCGGAGGGGGCATCCACAGACTCTGTGGCGCGGCCAGTGATTGGCTGTTTATTACACCGCAGCCGCAATGGTCTTTGGTGTGTGCGTCGAAAAAAAATAGATGCGCGTGCCGCATAGGGTGCTGTGAGGAGAGAGAGGATCATTCTGTAATGCACGTGTGATGACGGATTTTGTAGCTGTATGTCTATATTTCTCTCAGCACACTACACATTGAATGTGAGTGAGTCCTTGCTTGTACTATAAGTGCCATTTCCCCCAAAATGGTGTAGTTAGCTTATCACAGATAAAATATTTACAATTATATTAGCAATAGAAAGGGGTCTATATATTATCGGCTCGGGTTTAACGTCAACTGGCGTGGAAAATATACTCACTTTGGTATCTTTTTATACGGCGAACAGCTGTGCTTCGTTTTTGACTGCTTTGCGCTCATAATTTCATTTCATCTTTGCCGATTCTTGGCTCGGGCAAGCTCTTGTAGGATTGTATTTGAAACCTAGAACGTTCTGTGGTCATTTGCTGTGCATATAGACTTTAGGAGTGCTGGAAAGGCTGCACAGGACTTAACGATATGCCGTGCCTACTCAATATGCTTTGCACATAACTATACCTGGTTAATTTCTACGACTTTAGTGTCTCACTAATAGACTGTCTGCATTGGCCTTTTAATGTTGATCAGATTTATACACACAGCTCTCAGCTTGGACGGAAGAAGCACAACTAATAGCTTATGTTAAAACACCATACTCTTTAATAAGTGAGATATACGGAGTTAACCGAAATGATCAGATGTATTTGTGTGTTATATCGCATGTATAAAGTACCGTCACAAATAAATTAATTTTCCATCAGTGAACAGCAATTATTGAATTCACGGGACATTTAAAAGAAGCGGACGCCAGGATATATGGCTACACTTATATCATTAGCTTCGTGAGTCATGTGGGTTGCTAGCTCGTAAATTTTTCACGCATACGCAGTGAGACGGCGTCTAAAGGATTCGTGCTCAGAGCATTTCGCGGGATAGTGCTGGGTAGCCGCCGGGAATAATTTTTGGCGCTAAGGATTACTCCTCACCATCGGTGATGTTCACACCTCAGGGTCCCGCAAAAACGCATCCGTATCAGCTCGCAATCAGACACACGACCCATCACATGGCACAGGTATTTTTCACTGAGACATACGGACATAGTCCTCTGTCTTTCAGGTTTTACGCAGACGAAGTATCAAACATACATTCCAACGCAACGACCACATTCACCATTACAATAGCATTTAAACACGGATGCGGGTCGCGTCACTACTTAAGCTTACTTGCTCACACACAATAATCCAGCTCTACAATTCTATGCTCTGTTCGCGCCCGGCAACGCTGGTGCTCTTGGTGTACACCCGCTCAGCCGCAATTGCTCTTTCGGGCTTTGCTCTCGCGGTTGTTTGCTCGCGCTCGCTACTACGCTTACTCCCACTGGTTTCCCTTTTTCTTTATTTTTTTTATTCGCGGTCGGTGTTTCACTAGTTCTCTCTCGGTCATTGCCCCCTGCGCGCGGTGTCTGAAGCACCTAGTCCAGGTATTAGCGAACCGTTTTCTGGTAGTTTTTCAGAATTATTTATTTCAACCAACATCGTATTATTATGTATTATAGGCGGCTTATTTTGTTTACTCGGTCTTCCTATATCGCTGAGGGCCTTTTCACCCTGTGATATTGACAGGTACGTTAGCTATGATTCACGAATATATATGCTAATTGCCACCCGCACTTTCTGCTATTGTGGAACTTGCTGCGCCATCCGTCTACTCATTACGTGGCATCTGATCTGGTACGCAGCCAAGTTCCTAAAGCCTGTAGTGCGGCCTAATCTTAGCAAAATTCCTACTGATCGTGTCTTGGAAAATATCATACACAGTGTCTCGCCAAGATATGACATGCGTATCTGATCTATGCTACTCTATTATTATCTCATATCTATCTATCTTATCATACTCGCTATCTAGTCTATCTATCTTATTCTGATCTATCTTATCTATCTTATTCTTCTTATGCTAGATCTTATCTATCTATCTATCTAGTCTACCTATCTATCTATTGGCGAGTAATCTTTAGCCGCTACTGTTATATTTAGTCTTTTATAATATTTTACTCTATGCATTTGTTGTGATTCTATATTTCGTTTGATTTTATTTATTCAAATATCTAAGATCATTCACGGCATTACGTCAAGCTAATTTCTATCTCATGCTTGAAATCTCGATATGACATTTAGCCTTCTCATGCTGCTAAATTGCTTATATATGTGATTAAATAATATATGCTGCTGTCTATCTATCTAGTATCTAGCTATCTACCTTTATCTATCGTAATCTATCTAAGTCTATCTATTTCTATCTATCTAGTTCTATCTAATCTATCTCGTCTCTTCTTGTTGTTCGCCGATATCTTTTCGCTTTCCTTTACCCGTGCAATTAGGTTTCGTCGTTATGGCTTTCATTATTCGGTCGGTTCGCTCTACTCCACTGCGTTTGTGAGCTGTTTGGGATGCGTGGCGATGCTGGACTCGGTGGTGTCAGTTGACATTGCTTTCGCTGTTTTGCTGTTGCTTTGCTTGCTGGCTGCTG